GGGGGGTGGGGTTGGAGAGGGCAGGGGCCCTGTGAGTGTGCTCACGAGCATGCGTGTGTATGTGGCCATGAGGGGCACACGTTTTTCTGTGTGCGTATGAACATGTGTGGCACGCGTGTCCTTGGAGTTGAATGAATGAACCGTGTGGATGCTGGACCCTGTGCCCAGGGGTAAATTGTTCCCCATCTCCAGGCTTCAGTGAAATGAGGTGGTTTAGTAAATCACATTTATTGAGCACACAGTCTGTTTCAGCCACTGTTCTCTGTGCTAGAACTCATTTCAAGACTTCTGGCATTTAAGGTTCCCTTCATTTCCACAGTCAGTGGTTGGAGATAAGGAAGGCTTCACAGAGAATGTGGGACTTGAGAGAGACCTTCCAAGTTCCCATGGGAACTTAAATCATAATAAAAACAGGGTATCCCACGGTACTTCTCCAACAGAAGACGAAGAATCACCGGCCTCAGGATCACCTTTGGAGCCTGTCTGGTGTAGAGTCTCAGCTTCTGGCCCTGAGATTCTAGTGCAGTGATTCGGAAGTGGGGCCTGGGAGTCTGTATTACAAGCTTCCCAGGTCGGCAGACAGGTTTGCAAAGCACTGATCTCAACCTGTTCCCCTATCTGTGGACAGAATCATACCTCGACAGCTTAGACCTAGGGCTGCCTGACCTCAGCATCAGTATCTCCGGGCAGAGAAATGAATTCATTGATTGAGTAATGCAGCAAATATTAAGCACCTGCTGTGTTCTAGGCCCTGTGGCAGGTATTGATTATGGTCCCTACTCTGGAGGGACTCCTGATCTGTCACTTATTTTGGAAGCAAGCCATCTAGCCAAAACCAGCAGGGCCTTAGATAGAGATCATCAACCAATCCCATTACACAGATGGGAAAACCAAGGCCCTGAGAGGAAAAGCAAGTTGTTCAAGACTACACAGGAGCAAATGAATTTCCTGCTCTCAAAGCAGCTGAAGTATCCCAATGTTCTACCCAGGACACCCACAGTTTGCTTCCTAAACATTAAACCTATACAGAATAAACGCTCCCTGAAGTCTAACTCTAGATCTTGCTGACATTTTAAATCCTCAACAACCGAATGGACGAGTTGGAAAGAGGGAACGCCATGGGGTATTCTAAAGCCCAGGGGTAAGTAAGAAAGGCTCTAGACTAGGCTCGAGCCTTCCCAACACTGAGCCTTCCATCACTTCTTCCGGGCTGTGCCGGCGGGCCTGCTGCCTGCCTCCTCCGCACTTTAGAGCCAAAAAAAGTGGGGGCGCCTCTCAGGTTCACAAGGACCTGGCTCCCACCTCTCTGTCCAGACTTGCTTACGTCACTGTCGCCCCGAGCCTGGGGAGGGGGAGAAGCAGGGCAATCGTGCCCGCCCCTGCGATGCCAGCCGCCCTGCGATTGGCTGCCAGGACTGGGGGCGGGTCGCGGATTGGTCATCGCCGAGGGCTTGAAAGGTGGCTGAGCGCACTGGACACCTCAGACGGACGGTGGCCCGGGATCAGCGGCCAGGCCAGTCCCAGACGCACCCTCCGCGCGCCATGGCCCGGCTGCTCCGGGCATCCTGCCTTTTCTCCCTGCTCCTGGCCGGCCTCGTGCCGAGCCTGGGGCAGGAGAAGTCGAAGGTGAGTGAGCCTCCGGGGTGGGGGGC